TCTGAGGTATTTGATGTATATTGGCAAAATTTACTGCAGAATACTATACCAACTTACATTCCTATTAGCAACATAGGAGAGTAGCAATTTCCTTGAAAAAACTACCTCTATCAAAACATCAGTCATTTGGGTATTATCATTTAAGAAAATATTTGTCAGTTTGAATGTAGGAGAAAACTGGTGTCTTATTATTGCTGTAATTCAAACTTGACTTCTAGTGAAGTTGAACCATTTTTTATAGGTTTGTTGGCTATTTGCATTTCTTTTTCTGTGAATTATTCTTTGTCTCATGTTCACTTCTTAGTTGTTTTTGTTTTTGTTTTTGTTTCCTGTTTTCAGACACCAGAATCAAACTAGGTACCCTGTACTTGCAACATTGAGCAGAGGATGATGAAAGTTTAGTGGGGGAACTGGAAAGCTGGGCAGCATTCTTACACAGCCTCCACTTTGAGGAGTTTTTGCTTGTTTGTTGGTTGGTTGGTTTGTTTAATCTTGGCTGTGCCACGTGGCTTGCGGGATCACGGTTCCGCAACCAGGGATCGGACCTGGACCACAGCAGTGAAAGCGGTGAATCCTAACCACTAGACCACCAGGGAACTCTCCACTTTGAGTTTTATACTGTGTGACACACTACTCACAGGTCTGTTGGACTGATTTACATTGATGGTATGTGGCAGAAGAAACCAGTATTTAAAAAAATTGAGATATAATTGACAAATTACATTAGTTTCAGGTGTGCAGCATAATGATTTGATACATGTATATATTCTGTAATGATCACCACAGTATGTATAGTTAACATCTGTCACCACACACAGTTACAAATTTTTTTTCCTGTGATGAGAACTTTTAAGACCCACTCTCTTTAGCAACATTTAAATACAGTACAGTTGTTGTTGTTGTTGTTTTGGTGTGTGTGGGGGGTCATGCCGTGCGGCTTGTGGGATCTCAGTTCCCCAAACAGGGATTGAACTCGGGCCACGGCAGGGAAGGCCCAGAATCCTAACCACTGGACCGCCAGGGAATTCCCTGCAATACCGTCTTGTTAACTATTGTCACCATGCTGTATGTTACATCCCCATGACCTATTTATTTTATAACTGGAAGTTTGTACCTTTTCACCCCTTTTACCCATTATGCCTACCCTCTACACCCAGCCTCTGGCAAACACCACTCTGTTCTCTGTATTTATGAGTTTGGTGTTTTGTTTGTTTTAGATTCTACATATGAATGAGTTCATATGGTATCAGCCTGTCTTTGTCCAACTTATTTCGCTTGGCGTAATGCCCTCAGGGTCTGTCCACATGGTTGCAAATGGCAAGATTTCCTTCTTTTTTATGGCTGAATAATATTCCGTTGTGTATAAGGAACACATTTTCTGTATCCCTTCGTCCATCAGTGGACACTTAGGTTACTGCCATGTCTTGGCTATTGTAAATAGTGCTGCAGTGAACATCCCCATGTTCACTATCATGCATATCATCCCCATTCATATGTCTTTTCTAGTGAATGTTTTCATTTCCTTCAGGTAAATACCCAGAAGTGGTTTTGCTGGATCATATGGTAGTTCTGTTTTTAATTTTTTGAGGAACCTCCATACTGTTTTTCATTTTTTAGTGGCTGCATCAATTTACTTTCACACCAACAGTGCATGAGGGTTGCCTTTTCTCCACCTTCTCGCCAACACTTGTTATTTCTTATCTTTTTCATAATAGGCATTCTAAGAGGTGTGGTGATGTTTCATAGTGGTTTTGATTTGCATTTCCCTGATGATTAGTGATTTTGAGCACCTTTTCATGTACCTGATGGCAGTCTGCATGTCTTCTTTGGAAAAATGTCTATTCAGATCCTCTGCCGAATTTTAAATGGGATTCTTTGTTTTTTGGTATTGGGTTGTATGAGTTCTTTGTATATCTTGGTTATTAATCAGATATATGATTTGTAAATATCTTCTCCTATTTGGTAGGTTGTCTTTTCATTTTGCTGATAGTTTTCTTTGCTGTGCAGAAGCTTTTTAGTTTGATGTAGTCTCACTTACTTATTTTTGCTATTGTTGCCTTTGCTTTCAGTGTCAAATCTAAAAAAATTATTGCCAAGACCAATGTCAAGGAACTTACTGCCTATGTTTTCTTATAGGAGTTTTATGGTGTCAGGTCTTACATTCAAGTTTTTAATCCATTTTCAGTTGATTTTTGTGTATGGCATAAGTTAGTTGGTTCAGTTTCATGCTTTTGCACGTGGCTGTCCAGTTTTCCCAACGTCATTTATCTAAGAGATTGTCCTTTCCCCGCTGTATATTCCTGGTTCCTTTGTTGTAAATGGATTGACCATATACGCATGGGTTTACTTCTGGGCTCTCTGTTCTGTTCTGTTGATCTGTGTGTCTGTTTTAATGCCAGTACTGTAGCTTCATAATATGGTTTGAAACCAGGAAGCATGGTATTTCCAGCTTTGTTCTTCTTTCTCTAGATTGCTTTGGCTTTTCGAGGTCTTTGTGGTTCCATACAAATTTTAGGATTTTTTTTTTCTATTTCTGAAAAATGGCATTGGAATTTTGATAGAGGTTGCACTGTATCTGTAGATTGCTTTAGCTAGTATGGACATTTTAACAATATTATTATTATTAGCAAGCATGGAATATCTTTTGTTTCTGTATTCTTCAATTTATTTCATCAATGTCTTATACTTTTCAGTGTACAGGTCTTTTACCTCCTTGGTTAAATTTATTCCTAGGTATTTATTCTGTTTGATGTGATTGAAATTGGGAGTTTTCATAATTTCTCTTTCTGATAGTTTATTACTCTGTAGAAATACAGCTGATTTTTGTATATTGATTATGTATCCTGTAACTTTACTGAATTTGTTTATTAGTTCTAACAGTTTTTTGGTTGAGGCTTTAAAAACCTATTTTTCAGTATTTCTGGAAGTAGAAGTTCTCTAAAAGGCCAGAATCTGCCGTGTACTCCTCTTCTGCAATAAAAAGAGAAGTGCATGTAAAAAGTAACACAGTTCAGTAGAGGCAGCTGAGATGTGGATGAGAAGCAGAGAGGATTGGCAGTGGCAGAGAGAGGTGGAATAAGATGAAAAAGTACTTTTCAGCGATAATCCATGAGGCTTTCGCATACCACATGGTTATCTTCGTGTCTATTGATTTATTTATTTTTAGAAAAATCTCATGGAGAGGTCTGGGAGGAACTATTAGGATAGACTTGTAGGTCCAGGTGAAAGGTAAGAATTTGAACTGAAGCTGCGACTAGAATTAATGATAAAGAGAGAAATTTGAGAAAAATTTTAAAAAGATTTTGTCATTAAGAAAAGGTTAAATGATGTTTCATGTAATCCATCTCTAAAAGATTTATTTTGATTACCCGTCAAAAATAAGGCATTTAAAGGGATGTTTCAGTTATTTTGAAATTTTACTTTTGTGCAGCAACCTTGTTTTCTCATGAAGTCAAATAAATGAGGCATTTGGGGTGCATATAATTTTTGCTCTTCTAATCTTTTAAAGCTTTTTAATCTTTTGAGAAGACATTTTGAAACAGATGAAATAGAGTATCTAAAAGACTGTTTTCGGTATCAACTTTCTCTGATTAGGAAACTGAGGCACAAGGATTTAAGTAACTTCTTACTGATACTGTGCAGCATGTTGGCTGTAGAATCAATGTCAGATATGTCTGGTTACTGCATTTTCCTCACTCCTGTCTATAAAATGGGCTTACTGCTAATATTTCTTTGTGAAAAAGTCGGGGGAGGGACTAGGTTTTCACTGCCAATTTTACATAAGCATTTAAATTATTCTCCCTTGAAGAAATATCAACATGTCTTTGTTGTCTTTTGAATACCTAGATTCTATGGCATATAAAAACATTTCATTTAATACAGTAAAGCTCTGTGGCCTGCAGTAATTTATTTTTGGAAACATTGTGGGATCAGTTTCTACTGCTGAAGAAAGAGATGAAATGGGATCCCTAATGAGAGCTATATATTAGCTTGTAGCTCTCAAGCTTTGAAACTGGTGATGAAAAACAGGGACAAAGTATCTTTCCCTCTATCTTTCTCTAAGGACAGTTTTTTGGGGTGGGGGTGGTGTGCATCTTGTGGGATCTCGGTTCCCTGACCAGGGATTGAACCGGGGCCACAGCAGTGAAAGCCTGGAATTCTAACCACTGGGCCACCAGGGAACTCCCTCTAAGGACACATTTTAAAAATGTAATCCTGTCCATTAAATATGATAGTAAAAAATGACTTGTTCCTTGATTTTTTTTTTTTTTTTTAACTAGAAATGTTTCCCCTCCTTCATCCTTTGCACTATTCAAGTGATAAATATTTGCTGGCTGTAGAATTTATTGGCATGAATAAGAGTTCTGATTCTTTCCAGCATGGTAGTCCTTCAACTTCATCTCCCAAACTTAATAACTAATATTCATGTAGGACTTCACCTTTGACAGCACATTTGTTGTTGTTGTTGTTAGTTGCCATTGAATGCCCACTCTTTGCCTGCTACCAAACCAGAACCTTTATACACATTATATCATTTAATTTTTACAACTCTATGAGAAGTATTATTACACCCATTTCTACTTAAGGAAACTGAGGCTCAAGGAGTTAAATAACTTTTATAGCTAAAATAAAAAGCCAGCATTTTATAATTGGCTCTTACTGCCTACTATTGTATGGTTTATGCCACATTGACCTTCCAAACTGATTCTTATCAGAAAAGTCTTACTTGTTTTGAAGAATTTACATATGTACTTGGGTGAGCACGAATACATACATAGGTGTGGAAGCAAAAAGACTCTGCACCAAAATGTTAGTAGTGGTTATCTCTGGATGGTGAGTTTTATGAGTGCTTTAGGTTTTTTATTCTTTGTATTTATTTGTATTTTCTGCAAATATGAACATGTATTTATATTACCTTGTAATAAACATTTTTATGTTACATATTGAACTTAACAGTAATTGAGAAATGACATTTCTGATTTACTATTGCTTATTTCTAGATCAGTTGGCCTTACTTCCCCAGTGGAAATCTAGTCATTATGATGTGGTAGTTGGCGTGCTGTCAGCCCGCAATAACCATGAACTTCGCAATGTGATAAGAAGCACCTGGCTGAAGCATTTAGTACAACACCCAGCATTAAGTCAACGGTACGTTCCTTTTTTTTTTTTTTTGGCTGCATTGGGTCTTTGTTGCTTCACGTGGGCTTTCTCCAGTTGCGGCGAGCGGGGGCTACTCTTCGTTGCAGTGCGCAGGCTTCTCATTGCAGTGGGTTCTCTTGTTGTGGAGCACAGGCTCCAGGTGTGCGGGCTTCAGTAGTTGCAGCGCATGGGCTCAGTAGTTGTGGCACACAGGCTCAGTAGTTGTGGCACACGGGCTTAGTTGCTCCGCGGCGTGTAGGATCTTCCCGGACCAGGGCTTGAACCCATGTCCCCTGCATTGGCAGGCAGATTCTTAACCACTGCACCACCAGGGAAGCCACAACGGTAGGTTTCTTGAGTTCACACCTTGCGTGACATATTGAATAAGTGTTCTGAAAAATCTCCTCTTGGAGAGTCAGAGATGTTAATTCAGATATGTGACCTCTTTTCCTCAGAAATGACTATTTCATTTTGCTTTTCCTCCACGTAGTTGAGCCCCAAAAGTAAATTTAACCAAGATTTTAAGCCAAAAGAGATATACTTAATGTTTTTCAGCTCTGTATCATTTGGTTGTGTGTGATCTGCGGTTTGTATAGTTTGCCATACTCTTTTTGCCAACCACCCTTCCAGGCCTGAGCTTGGGTAGCACGTCACACGTTGACATTAGATGGCTCGGTTGTTGGTTAGGAATGCAAGGCCTTAGTCTTCTCAGGGAAAGCAGCCTCTGAAGATTATATAGTGAGGGACTAGTGGAAGTGAAGCATGGAAGTCTGGACTTCTAGTTATGTGACGATTCTTCTCTGCTTATGCGAAGTCACTGATAAGCAGAGAAGGCCCTCAGGATTGCATTCAGCTGGCATGCTTGTGACTGAGTAGCTATACGGGGGAATCACAATTGTGAATTTCTTTGTCACCAGTAGTGAACATTTATAGATTTCCTATCTTACTCATAGCAGCTTTTTTTTTTTAACATCTTTATTGGAGTATAATTGCTTTACAATGGTATGTTAGTTTCTGCTTTATAACAAAATGAATCAGTTATACATATACATATATGTTCCCATATCTCTTCCCTCTTGCATCTCCCTCCCTATTCCACCCCTCTAGGTGGTCACAAAGCACCGAGCTGATCTCCCTGTGCTATGCGGCTACTTCCCACTAGCTATACATAGTGTATATATGTCCATGCCACTCTCTCACTTTGTCACAGCTTACCCTTCCCCCTCCCCATATCCTCAAGTCCATTCTCTAGTAGGTCTGTGTCTTTATTCCTGTCTTACCCCTAGGTTCTTCATGACATTTTTTTTTTCTTAGATTCCATATGTATGTGTTAGCATACGGTATTTGTCTTTCTTTTTCTGACTGACTTCGCTCTGTATGACAGACTCTAGGTCCATCCACCTCACTACAAATAACTCAATTTCGTTTCTTTTTATGGCTGAGTAATATTCCATTGTATATATGTGCCACATCTTCTTTATGCATTCATCCGATGATGGACACTTAGGTTGTTTCCGTCTCCTGGCTATTGTAAATAGAGCTGCAATGAACATTTTGGTACATGACTCTTTTTGAATTATGGTTTTCTCAGGGTATATGCCCAGTAGTGGGATTGCTGGGTCATATGGTAGTTCTATTTGTAGTTTTTTAAGGAACCTCCATACTGTTCTTCATAGTGGCTGTACCAATTCACATTCCCACCACCAGTGCAACAGTGTTCCCTTTTCTCCACACCCTCTCCAGCATTTATTGTTTGTAGATTTTTTTGATGATGGCCATTCTGACTGGTGTGAGATGATATCTCATTGTAGTTTTGATTTGCATTTCTCTAATGATTAATGATGTTGAGCATTCTTTTATGTGTTTGTTGGCAATCTGTATATCTTCTTTGGAGAAATGTCTGTTTAGGTCTTCTGCCCATTTTTGGATTGGGTTGTTTGTTTTTTTATTATTGAGCTGCATGAGCTGCTTGTAAATTTTGGAGATTAATCCTTTGTCAGTTGCTTCATTTGCAAATATTTTCTCCCATTCTGAGGGTTGTCTTTTGGTCTTGTTTATGGTTTCCTTTGCTGTGCAAAAGCTTTGAAGTTTCATTAGGTCCCATTTGTTTATTTTTGTTTTTATTTCCATCTCTCTAGGAGGTGGGTCAAAAAGGATCTTGCTGTGATTTATGTCCTAGAGTGTTCTGCCTATGTTTTCCTCTAAGAGTTTGATAGTTTCTGGCCTTACATTTAGGCCTTTAATCCATTTTGAGCTTATTTTCATGTACGGTGTTAGGGAGTGTTCTAATCTCATACTTTTACTTGTACCTGTCCAGTTTTCCCAGCACCATTTATTGAAGAGGCTGTCCTTTCTCCACTGTACATTCCTGCCTCCTTTATCAAAGATAAGGTGACCATATGTGTGTGGGTTTATCTCTGGCCTTTCTATCCTGTTCCATTGATCTATATTTCTGTTTTTGTTCCAGTACCATGCTGTCTTGACTACTGTAGCTTTGTAGTATAGTCTGAAGTTAGGGAGCCTGATTCCTCTAGCTCCATTTTTCGTTCTCAAGATTGCTTTGGCTATTCGGGGTCTTTTGTGTTTCCATACAAATTGTGAAATTTTTTGTACTAGTTCTGTGAAAAATGCCAATGGTAGTTTGATAGGAATTGCATTGAATCTGTATATTGCTTTGGGTAGTAGAGTCATTTTCACAATGTTGATTCTTCCAATCCAAGAACATGGTATATCTCTCCATCTATTTGTATCATCTTTAATTTCTTTCATCAGTGTCTTATAATTTTCTGCATACAGGTCTTTTGTCTCCTTAGGTAGGTTTATTCCTAGATATTTTATTGTTTTTGTTGCAATGGTAAGTGGGAGTGTTTTCTTGATTTCACTTTCAGATTTTTCATCATTAGTGTATAGGAATGCAAGAGATTTCTGTGCATTAATTTTGTATCCTGCTACTTTACCAAATTCATTGATTAGTTCTAGAAGTTTTCTGGTAGCATCTTTAGGATTCTATATGTATAGTGTCATGTCATCTGCAAACAGTGACAGCTTTACTTCTTCTTTTCCGATTTGGATTCCTTTTATTTCCTTTTCTTCTCTGATTGCTGTGGCTAAAACTTCCAAAACTATGTTGAATAAGAGTGGTAAGAGTGGGCAACCTTGTCTTGTTCCTGATCTTAGTGGAAATGCTTTCAGTTTTTCACCATTGAGGACGATGTTGGCTGTGGGTTTGTCATATATGACCTTTATTATGTTGAGGAAAGTTCCCTCTTTGCCTACTTTCTGGAGGGTTTTTACCATAAGTGGGTGTTGAATTTTGTCAAAAGCTTTCTCTGCATCTATTGAGATGACCATATGGTTTTTCTCCTTCAATTTGTTAATATGGTGTATCACATTGATTGATTTGCGTATATTGAAGAATCCTTGCATTCCTGGAATAAGCCCCACTTGATCATGGTGTATGATCCTTTTAATGTGCTCTTGGATTCTGTTTGCTAGTATTTTGTTGAGGATTTTTGCATCTATGTTCATCTGTGATATTGGCCTGTAGTTTTCTTTCTTTGTGACATCCTTGTCTGGTTTTGGTATCAGGGTGATGGTGCCTCGTAGAATGAGTTTGGGAGTGTTCCTCCATCTGCTGTATTGTGGAAGAGTTTGAGAAGGATAGGTGTTAGCTCTTCTCTAAGTGTTTGATAGAATTCGCCTGTGAAGCCATCTGGTCCTGGGCTTTTGTTTGTTGGAAGATTTTTAATCACAGTTTCAGTTTCAGTGCTTGTGATTGGTCTGTTCATATTTTCTATTTCTTCCTGATTCAGTCTTGGCAGGTTGTGCATTTCTAAGAATTTGTCCATTTCTTCCAGGTTGTTAATTTTATTGGCATAGAGTTGCCTGTAGTAATCTCTCATGATCTTTTGTATTTCTGCAGTGTCAGTTGTTCTCCTTTTTCATTTTTAATTCTATTGATTTGACTCTTCTCCCTTTTTTTCTTGATGAGTCTGGCTAATGGTTTATCAATTTTGTTTATCTTCTCAAAGAACCAGCTTTTAGTTTTACTGATCTTTGCTATCATTTCCTTCATTTCGTTTTCATTTATTTCTGATCTGCTCTTTATGATTTCTTTCCTTCTGCTAACTTTGGGGCTTTTTGTTCTTCTTTCTCTAATTGCTTTAGGTGCAAGATTAGGTTGTTTATTCGAGATGTTTTTCTGTTTCTTAAGGTAGGATTGTATTGCTATCAACTTTCCTCTTAGAACTGTTTTTGCTGCCTCCCATAGGTTTTTGGGTCATCGTGTCTCCATTGTCATTTGTTTCTAGGTATTTTTTGATTTCCTCTTTGATTTTTTCAGTGATCACTTGGTTATTAAGTAGTGTATTGTTTAGCCTCCAAGTGTTTGTATTTTTTACAGATCTTTTCCTGTAATTGATATCTAGTCTCATAGCGTTGTGGTCGGAAAAGATACTTGACACAATTTCAATTTTCTTAAATTTACCAAGGCTTGATTTATGACCCAAGATATGATCTGTCCTGGAGAATGTTCCATGAGCATTTGAGAAAAATGTGTGTTCTGTTCTTTTTGGATGGAATGTCCTATAAATATCAATTGTTTAATTTATCATTTAAAGCTTGTGTTTCCTTATTTATTTTCATTTTGGATGATCTGTCCATTGGGGAAAGTGGGGTGTTAAAGTCCTCTACTATGAATGTGTTACTGTCGATTTCCCCTTTTATGGCTGTTAGTATTTGCCTTATGTATTGAGGTGCTCCTATGTTGGGTGCGTAAATATTTACAGTTGTTAAATCTTCTTCTTGGATCGATCCCTTGATCATTATGTAGTGGCCTTCTTTGTCTCTTGTAATAGCCTTTATTTTAAAGTCTATTTTGTCTGATATGAGAATTGCTACTCCAGCTTTCTTTTGGTTTCCATTTGCATGGAATATCTTTTTCCATCCCCTCACTTTCAGTCTGTATGTGTCTCTAGGTCTGAAGTGGGTCTCTTGTAGACAGCGTATAT